GGAAGAGCACCACAGTATTCACTATAGTGTATTAATGTGTGTGTTTTACTATTTCTATATTAGCTAACAAAATACTAAAATGTATATAGACTACAAATAATTATATTTGAAACTCAGTATGAGTTTGTCTGACCTTAAGATCTATAAGCATTAGCAAGCACCCATTGCAGTATTTGTGAAAATGCAAGGGTTTCTTGTCGAATCGGTATATTCTCTTTGTTAACACAATATGGCTCTGACCTGATTTATGAGTCATCACACCATACCCTATGTGATGGTTAATTTTATGTGTCCAATTGGCTAGACAATAGTACTAACATATTTGGTCAAATACCAGTCTAAATATTTCTGTGAAGGTTATTTTTTTAGATGAGATTAACATGTAAATCAGTAGACTTTGAGTAAAGCAAATTATCCTGTAGGCTTCATCCAATTATCTCAAGGCTGTAAAAGAAAAACTGATGTCCTCTGAGGATGAGGAAATTCTGCCCCTAGACTGCCTTCAGACTCCAGCTGCAACATCAACTCTTTCCTAGGTCTTTGGCCTGCTACCCCACCCTGAAGATTTCAGACTTGCCAGTCCTTTGAGTTGAGGCACAACATGAGTTGATTCTTTAAAATAAATCTCTCTCTTTCTCTCTCTCTCCATACACATACACATATACACACGCACACACACACATACTCTATTGGTTCTGTTTTTCTGGAAACAGACGAATACGCCACACTATACCAGACCAAGTGTTTCTATTTAATACTACATCAACCAAAACCAAGTCTTTTACCTTATTTTTCACAAGTTTACACACTTACATTCACATTCACACAAAGCCATTGCATACGCAGTAGATTTTCCTAAAAGTTAGAAGAGAAAGAGGATGAAACTGTATTTTTCTGCAACATAAATAATTTTAAATGGAATATTGAAATTTTCTCTAAAGGACTGCATACATAATATTTGTACTCAATCAGAAGGGAAAACTAGGATTGATCAAAACTAAAACGATAACAACAACAGTCGAACTGGACCTGCAGAGAATTCAGATTTTGACATTATGTCATGAATAGGTAAAGAAATGAAATAATTTTTATAAGAAATTTGTCAGAGACCTGGAAATTATAAAAGTGAATCAAATGAAAATTTTAAAACTGACAAATACAGAAACACAAATTATCACATAGGTGACTTTAGTACCAGATTATATACAATTATTATAAAAATGGAATTTATAAATTGGAATATAGTTCAGAAAAAATTTTTGAGTCTTTAGCACTGAGAGGAAAATGCATGGAAAATGTAGAAAAGAGCCTAAGAGATGTGTAAGACATTGTAAAATATTATTATAATAGATTACATACACATGAGTTGAGTCTGAAGAGAGAAAGTAAGAGAATGGGGCAGTAGAAAGATGTGAAGAGATAATTTTTGAAAATGGTGAAAGATATTAAGCCACAGATCCAAGAATCACAAAGAACCTTAAGCAACATATATATGAAAGCAGCTATAGCTAGGTAAAAACTGTAAACCAAGTGAAGCAATGGGAACAAAAATTTCTTTAAAATAACCAGAGAAACAAAGATTCTTTAACTTTAAATGGGCAATATTATATCTAACAGCTGACTTCTTAACAGAAACAATGGAAGCCAGAAAATATTTGTTAAAGGCCAAAAAGAAATGAGGTTCTAGCCACCGTTTCACCCTAAGCACACCCAAAAATACTAAAAGAGTTCTTCAGAAATATATTTTCAGGTAGAGGAAAGGGAATGAATGAAGAATGAAGAAATAAATTAAGGGTAGATATATGGGAAAATCTAAATGAATATCTTCTATTATTATATAAGAAAATCATTTCTCATGTTGTTTAAAAACACCAAGAGAATAAAAATACATGATAACAACAGCACCAGATTTCTGAGAAGGCAAATACTGTTAAGGGCTTATAATGTTTTGTCATTGTGATGTACTTAAAAACTGATTTATAGTAAGTCTTAATATCCAAGAATGTAAATCTAATTCCTTAAGAAGACACTGAACTGATAACAAGAGAATGCATAACCACCAAGCAAGCAGGGAGAATATTTTGAATTATCAAACATACTGAGTCTAAAAGAAGGCAATAAAGAAAGGCAGCAGGAACATAGAAAAGGTAGTCAAGTGGAAGATCAAAGTAAAGCATTGATTTAAATCCAATGTAGAAAACAAAGTGATGGAAAAGATATCTCATGCAAAAACTAACTTAAAGAAAGCTGGTATGGCTATACTAGTATGGCATAAAACAGATTTTTAAAAAATATTTCTTAGTATTGATAAAAAGGGCATTTTATGAAACTAAAAGATCAACTACCATATAGCCTCAAAATATGCAAACTCAACATTTTCAGAAATAAAAAGAGAGGCAAATCTACAGTCATAATTGGCATTTTTTTTTGAAACAGGATCTCACTCTGCTACCCAGGCTAGAGTGCAGTGGCATCATCATAGCTCACTGCAACCTCAAACTTCTGGGCTCAAGTGATCCTCCTGCCTCAGTCCCCTGAGTATCTGGGATTAAAGGTGTGCACCACCATGAGCAGCTAATTTTTCTATTTTTTGTAGAGATAGGGTCTCACTCTTACTCAGACTGGTCTTGAACTACTGGCCTCAAGCAATCCTCCTGCCTTGGCCTCCGAAAATACTAGGATTACAGATTTTAATACTCTTTTCTCAATAACTGATAAAACAAGTAGACATAAAATAAAACACATATAGAAGATTTGGAAAACTCAATGAAGACCTAAATAAGGAGAACTTCACAGAAGAGGACATGCAAATGGCCAATTCTATTTTCTGATTGGTGGTCACTGTTCCATGGTCTCATCACCCAATTCTTTAAGACTGAAATAACTGTTTCCCTGGTTATTTTTCTGTAACTATTTCCTTCTTATTGTTTTTCTTTAACTGTTTCCTCCTTGTTTTTCTGCTCCTGTCATTCTATTATCTTTTGTTTTTCTGTCCCTACCATTCCATTACCTCTTTTTTTTTTTCTGTCTCTAACACTTTCAGGGTACTCAGCAATATTCTCTAGTAAAGGAAAGTCAAACTGAGGACACACTGTCAAAATGTCTTAGAAATTACATGGATAAGCTAGCACTTATCAGGTTCTCTGAGTCCATATCTGCGTGTCCAAAACAGACCATCTGGTACCTTTTCAGGATTTCAGCCTTTTATCCCCACATTGTGACCTTAAGTCAGCAGTGAGGAAGTATTTTTTCCTCAATTTATACCTGAAATCTATTTGTAAATTCCCTAAAAATATTTTGAGCACTATAGTATGTTTTAAGTTTCCACTGCCATTGGCTACCAGTAGCTAAGAAATCTGTTCTTCTCTCTTTGGATATTTTTTTCTGATCAGTTTTTTCCTGCTGTCCCATCTTGCTAGATGTCTAGACAAGCATCCTGATTTTCCCTCCCTGCGTCCATAATGTAGGGCGTGCGTGTGCAGAACCAGGCTCGGGAGGGTGTGTTGCTGTACAGACGGAATCTGCCCTACGGTGGAGATTCAAGCATCCTTGAGTTTCTTTTTGGCTCTTGGCAATTTTCTTACTAGAAATAGTTTCTGCTTTTATGGGAAGAACTACTCTTCCGTAAAAATACAATTTTCTATTTGTAGTAGGTTTTTGTCTGGTTTGTGTTGGACCAGTTGATTATTTTGTGTGTCTACATTTCATTGCTTTGAAGACTTCATCTATCCTAGAGCACAAAGATAGTAAAACAGGTGTTTTTTATTTATTTATTTGTTTTGTCTGCAAAAATGTACTTTCAATAAATGATTGATTCTAAAATAAATGGTGACTTTTCCCAGTGAAGAAATAAAGTCTACACAATTTGTATAGGACTTGGACTGCACCTTCCAAAGTTCTCTTTGAGTTTTGCATAAATATGAATATGCAGTCCAAAATTAGTTATTTTTCAGAGCGAAGTGAAAGGGAGAGGGAAAGAGTGAGAAAGAGAGAGTTCTGGAAATAACTATGTTTTCAATCCCTTCCCAGGGAGAGAAATAATAGATCATAAGAAATTGCTTATATAATCTGTTCTCATAACTTTGTGTGCATTACTGTAGCTTAATATTTCCAATTGAGAAATACAATGTATGCAGACTTTAGGTAAACGAAGCAAGACTTTCAAGGAGGTCATAGAGATTGAGATGTTCCTACACAGACATGCAAATCAACATAAGGAGATTTACTGACAGGCACAAGTTTCCCAGCTAGAGAGCCAAGGATATTTTGGAAACAATGCATGACGCACAAGAAGAGAAGCCAAAGCTGTCTTATTCATAGGGAGTATCCCTTTTGTTTTGGATTCCAGTTCTGCTAGTCCTTAAAATCTCTCCCTTGTTGAGGATGGCTTTTTCAAGTGAGTATGTCTCAACAAAGACTTAGGACATTGAAATCCCATTTACAAACAGCAAACTCTTCAACATAGAAAGAAAACAAAAAGAGGTAAAGACAGACTACCATGCTTGGTGAATTCATGGGCATTTTTTTTTTCCCCAAAGCAATCTAATCTGCGCTTATATTTAAAGAGAGCTCATCAGAGTGCCCCATCTTGAATACCTGAATTACGCAGCCGACCCTGTTCCCAGGATTTGATCTATGAGAACTGCATCTTTTTAACATGTATCAGGTACACTGTTGGTGTAATAAAATATACCCCGGAGTCCTTTTCTGACCTTTTCCCCCTTTCTTTCTTCTCCCACTTTTACTTTCCCTTCAGTAATGGCTCAGCCAGAGTTACACAGAATTGGTAGTGTGTGCTTGGCCAGTTTGAGAATTTATATACAAAGCTCAGCTATGGAAAAAGCCTGCGTCACAGGGTGTAGAAGTAAGTAGGAAAACGATGTCCTTGTTCTCTCCCTCATCTCCCTTGATGAAAACACAAGGCCAGATGTACTAGAAAACACCAGTGCCATTCAGAATCAGGTGTAATTCCACACGCGGAGGGACATGTGCGCTGGAAGCAGAGACCAGTAGTCACATGCTTGCATGGGTTTTAGACAACACGCTCAGTGAAATTTTACAGCCTATCCAATGTCAGCTCTTGAGGGGGAGAAAGGTAGCAGCTCACATTTGGTACTCCATATCTTTTTTGTTAATTTACATACTGCCTTCTCCCAAAGTGCTCCAGATACTCATGTGGCTAGCAAGTCACCAGGCCTTCCCTGTTATGCCCCTGTTAGCTCACCCTAAATTAACAGTGCTTCCATGTTCCAGAATTTCCCCTGCATCCCTCGACCACTTCAGTATTCATATCCTCCTGTCTCTTCTCTTACTGATAAAACTTACATGGCTGAGTTTATGTGAGTTAATGTAGTTTATATGGCTAGAAAACAGAGGATGTCGGGTTAAAGTTTAGTCCTTCTTCCTCTGAATCTAGCAGGTTTCTTTTTGATCATTTCAATATGATATTCCACTATAGTAATTCTGAAAGGCCCAATTTTTTTGTCATACCGTCTGCACGAATGTATAGCTGTTCCCATGCCCGTATTTGATGTATGCACTGCATTGCGCCATACTTTACTTTGGCAATAAGAAGACCATGATCTTACTCTGTAAACTTTCTACATAATTTCTTATGGGGTCGACCATTTTCTGTTTTAGTTGGAGAAAAATTGCCAAAAATTTAACGACGACTCCTATACTACAGTCCAGACAATTGTTACCTTTACTGAAAACATCCTCAATAACCATAATAGCAGAGGACTAGATATTTTGAAATCAACCTAGAGAGGTTCAGAAAAGCTTGCAAACAGTGACTGGATTAACCTAGCGAAATGAGGCAAATGTTATTTTTTCAAAAAACTTTTCTTGAACTTTCTAGACTTGGGTCAAAATTATTCTTGTATATCTTAGAGTGTCTTGGGTACACCAGGTTATCACGGCCAGACCAGCAGGAGGTTTTGTTGAATGAGCTCATGTATAAATAACTGCTCCATAACACTGGGAACATTTATGAGACTCATTATGTTTCAGTTCTTGTTTAACGGCAAGTCCCTACTTGGGCACTAGAATCCTGCTGATTTACTACTTATCAGGAATAAATTACAGTTTAGAACCTGGATTTTTCATGGTTTTTCTTTGTGTCAGCATAAATAAACTTAGCTAATAGGGCTATTTCCCATTGCCTATTAAACTGGCTGTGAATAAAAGACTTCCTGGCTAGTGAGAGAGTATCAGCAAGATGAGAGAACTGAATTGTTTTACCTGAAAGTGTTTATAATGTTGAGGGCTTTGGGAAATGGATGTCAAATACTGCAAGTTATCAGCATTTCTTAACACTTACTTTGAGTTTGTACCTTTTATTTTCCATCAGCTAAATAATACTGATATTTGTAGAAGCCATTAGCACTGGGGACTGAGAAGTCATTCATGGTGGATTATGTAGGCAGAGGTGCATATCCATCCTAAGACACTGCTCTTCATCATCATCATCTCTAAGTCCATTATCCTAATAGAATCTAAAGTGATGGCTTCACAAGCTTAGAGGAAAAGTGCACGATTTTGCAATGACTAAAAGAGAAAGTGGAATGTCACTTCTGGGTCCTCACCCAGACTGACTTCTTGGCTCCAATGGCCCCATTTCATGTGCAGAAACAGCTTTTCGGTATTAGTTAACATTTAAGAAATAGTTTCAAGTTTTACAACTGCAAAAGGGTCATTATTTTTATCAGTGTGCTGGAGGTTATTTTGAGTGTGAATACGGAGGGCCCAATTCAATAAAATCTCAGCCTGGGTTTCCCAGCAGGCTGCTTAAACCATGGAAATTCAACAGCGGACCGCACATGGGCTTCTATGATACTGAACCAGGGCTGAATTTCCATTTAATCATTCTCAAGAAATCAAAAGACACTTTGGGATTAAATGGCAAACCTTTTAAGTAGGAATTCCTCCACCAAAATGGCCAATTAGCATTTAAACTGCAGAACTGCATTATGTGAAAGGAAATAAAGAAAGAAAATATCTTCCTTAATAGTTAAAAAGGTAAACCAGAAACATAGAGTTATCACAAAATAAGCATTATCTCCCAGGACAGGAAAGGTACCGCAGGACTTTTGTTTAAAAGGAGAATAAAATTGATCTGTATTATTTACCTATTCTTATGCTTTTACCTTTAATTGGCAAAATTAGCTCTAGTGAATAATACTTGAAGCCACCCTCTAATTATATATTTGGTTATATCACATATAGCAAATGACTCAAAAGCTCAGTTTTTATGACTTAAAAATGATTTTTTTAAAAAAGTTAGTTATTTTATGTATTGGAAAAATAATAAATATATTTAGAAATGGCCCAGATTCAATTTTATATATTCATAAAATCTTTGGCTTACCTAAATCTCCTTCCCTATCTTCAAGTTTGCACCTCAGGGGCTTAGAGACCAACTAGAATAATAGTTGGCTTAGAGGAAAAAAAAACCACACATTTCTGGTATGATTAAACATAAAGGAAAACTTAAAACTTTCCAGAAATGTAGTTGAAATGGCTCTTAAGCAATTGTTTATTATCTTTCTTCATGTATCATTGATTTTTAGACTCTGCTTTCACCAAGCTCAATAATTATGTAAATCTCAAATGTTGGTTCTCCACCAACATTTAATAATGTTATTGTTATGCATGTTTGTATGCATACTTTAACAAAAATAAAATGGCAAGTAAACTCAGTGGGTATTATTGCTGCGGTTGTAATTTGCACTGCTCTTCCTTTCCTTGTCCGTTTCTCATTGTGGTATTCCAGGCAGCTTTCATGACATGGAATTTTGTAGTATGTCATGCTTAGTGAAGACCAGCAGTTGAACACGGGAAGGAATCTGACCAGTTCTCATTGCAGCAGCTCCAGATGGGTAGGAATTTGATTAGGTAATAAAAAATATGTTGTGTGCTCTTCATAAGATGCTGAATCTTTTGCATTAGTAGTGTAAGTGATGACTTAAAGGCATGAAATTAGAAAATCCATGTTTTCCCTTGCCCACTTCACCCATTGCCCAACATGCCAAGGTCTTTAATCTGTTGAATGACCCCTAATTTTGCCATAAGAGGAATCGTTTTTGTTTACCTGGATGCTAATGCTCACAAAAGAGACAAGGTTGTTTTCTGTTTGCTTTCTGCAAAAATAAATAAATAAAAAATAAATAAATAAAAGCAAATAGACATACACACAGATATAAACATTATTTCATGTTGAAAAGTTAATTCAGGCTTCTCATAGATAAACTGAATAATAAAACTATTAAAAATATCACTTATATGAATATTCAAAGAAAAGCACAATTAACAGGGTGGCCTATCTTTTCAAGATATTTATAAATACTTGCATATGTATATGGTATATATATATGTTTACTAAATCTTAAGTTATACTGTATATATCAACTTGTAATTTGTAATTATTTAGGGTATTATCTTTGAATATTCTTTTATCAGATCATTCTCATTGATTTTATAGTGTTCAATCATGGAATATTTTCATTATATATTTGAACAGTTTCTACTGTTGAATATTTTAAATGTTATCTCATTTTGAATAATACTGAAACAATTATATTATATTTGTGTGAAAATCTTTGAGCACTATTTGATTATTCCCTTATTAGAGGAACAATTGTATGCCATAAGGTAAGTACATTTTAAAGTCTAATTATTACCATTATTTTTATCACAATGATAATATATATCCTCTAAAATAACAATTATTAAAATAACATACAGCTATTGTTTCTTACTGTATTCTAGTCACTGTACTGTCATATCTTATTTTACTTAATCTTCAATAAAACACTGTCCTGTAGATATTTATATTATCCCGATTTTGTTAATGAGAACACTGGGACTTCGGTTGAAGAGCTTGACCAAAGCCAAACAAATTAGTAAATGGCAGGGCTTCCTTATTCTAGAATTGTGTTTTCAAAAGAGGTGATGCAGTTAGGATATTATGGAGCAGTTTTGATTTTCACATAGATCTTGGATAGGATGGGTTTTGAGGAAAGAAGCCAGGATGTTAAACACCCTGCAAAGAGTGAGACAGACCCACACAATTTCACAATGTCTTCCTGAATATTCATGCAAGCAATTATCTAATTTTCTGAGCCACAAACCTAAATCTCTTTTACATATAAATACAAATAAATTTTGCAGGTTTCCAATGCACAATAAGCGTACGAACAATGCAAAAATTATTTAAGTGAAGATAAATCTGAACACAGATTTTCTTTATGCAGAACTTTACCAAGAGTTGTCCAATATTTCAGCAAATCAGGTCACTGCTGGCACCACAAGTGCAAGATGAAAATCTCCAACACAACACTCCTCTGGCCATTCCAATTAGGAGTTGTCAATTTCATGGTGAGTCTAGGCATCGGTGTGAAGGGGCCCACTTTATAATATCATCTGGTATAGTTGTACCTGAGCATGAAATACATATTTTATTATAAATTACTTATTTTTATTCACTTTTTATTTTATATTGGGATGTTGTAATAATTGCTGAAAACTATGTGAGTACTATATATATGTTATATTAGTAATTGGCTTTTTCCAAGAGAGCAAAGGAGTGTTCCAAACTATTAGTTATAAAAAGTGAGTATTAGATCTGATAGGACTGACCATAGCAAAATGCACGTCTGGGGGACAGATTAAGGGACACTTTTACACATTAAATATGGACACACATGGAGGCTCTCACACATGCACACACACATACATAAAACTTTGTTAGGGTGGATATAAAGGAAACCCTCCAGGTCTGGTAGTCTCACTTCTACACCACAGCTCTGAGGTTTCAGTTAAATGCCTGGATTTTTCAGTGAGGTCTCTGTGTGCTGCTTACTATTTCTCCAAGAACTTTAGGAAAAACCCATTTATATTTCCATGTTGTTTTCTCAGCACTATTTTTTCCTATACTTTTGACTATTCTGTACATGGCAGCCTGCCGGGCAGCCCTGAACTCTGATTTCTGTCTACTCATCTCAGTGAGATCACTCTTCTCTACTTGGACAGCATCTCTTCACATCATTTCTAGAAAGTGCCTCCAGGCAAAAGGCTGGAGCAATCATGAAGCTCACATTACATGTCTTCATTCGTTGTAGGATCATGCTTCTACACTGCATGTGTTTCATTTTCTATAGTTGTTTACAGTGGGAAGGTTATTCTGATACCAGTGACTCTGTATGGCCAGAAGTAGAAGTTGCTCTTGGTAAGATTTTACTTTGCATTGTAGTTATTCTCGTACATGCCTCATCTCTCTTCTGAGACTAGAAGATCCCTGAGGGCAGGGTCTGTGCATTCTTCATGCTTGTTTTTCTTCCAAAGCCTTGCACACAGCCTATTTATGCTATTTATTATGGTAGTTATTTAATTCAACTAAATATTTAGTGAGTAAATATTTTGAATGAATAAGTGAAATGAATGAAATAAAACACTACATGAATTTTAAGAATAATTTCAAAGTGCACAAAATCCACTACACTGGATTATTTTCTTTCACTCAACAGTCTTTTTATACTCTGCAATAATCATGGGAATACCATGTGTTTCTAATATTCCCTTCTTCCACCTGCCAATTCACACCTTCGTTATAATCAGAAGACATGTGCAAAACTAAGAAACGGAGAGAACAATCACTGACAACCCTATGGTATTATGAGTATATATTAGAAGTCAATTGGAACATTTCATTCCTTTTTGCCTTTCAAGTTGCTTTGCAGATTATTATTTTCTATATCTGCTCAAGTCCAGCTTAAATCATTTTTCTTGGTCACACAGGCAAAGACGATGTTTGGAGTTTAGTGGTCATGAAAACCTTGATGAAGAAAGGTCAGCATAAGAGAACCGTTAAAGGCACAAGAGAACACACATGTTCCATGTAATAAGTGCCCAATCAAATGTCTGCTGCACATGAACATAGACATTTTTCTTTATGCTGGAAAATGTACTTCATTTTTCTTCTTTTAAGACTCTTTGAGATTATCTACAGATAACAAGCTAGATATAAAGGTGGAATCCATATTACAGCATTTCTAGACAATTATTAAGCTGCCAGTAAGCAATTTCCCCAGTGATTTTCAAATGAGTCCACTCAATTGAGTTAATTAGACATTTCTTCTCTGTGATTCTCTGGCTCACCTACTTGAACATTTTACTAATTTTCACACCTGCATACCTTGTAAAGTCTCTCAACTCCTCTCCTGTTTCTAAGAATACTCGTGAACTTGCAGGTCACACCCTCTCCACGTGTTCTTCCCTAACTTACCCAGACCCTCAATTCTGCTTTTTAGTCAACTTTCCTGTAAATTCTACACAGCAATTGCCCGTTATGCCCAACTGTCTCCTGAATCCAAAAGCTGCATCTCCCACTGCCTGCCAAGGTCTCTTCCTGGCTATGTAAGGAGAACATTTTCCTATACATGTCAATTGCAAACCAAATGAAAACAAGCGCTATATTGTTTTCTCTTTGGCCTTTCTTCCCATTTCACAGACTACCATAAGTGACAGCTTAGCAAAATTGGAACTCAGAAACCGTCCTGAGCCCCCTTTCCCATCCATCCTCTCTGCTCTCACAACCTAGTCACTTTCCAAGTCCTAAAGGTTCTTTACCAGATGTCTTCAATATCCATCCTCCCACCCCCATTGATTTTCACTTCCTTCCAGACTTCAGGCTGCATCCTGGTCCTATTGTTGTGTTGTATCTGATGGGCTCTGGTGTCTCTTCACGTCATTAACATTACGTGTGGCTTCCATTTTTTGCAGATTAATATTTTTTGACTTGAGGACCAATGATGTCATTTTCTGCTCAAAATATTAAAAACTTCACTGTGTTTCCATCATTAAATACAAACCCCTGAACCCAACATTCAATGATTTCCAAAATTGTCCCTTAAAATAGCCCTTTTGCCTTATTCTCCATTGTTTCTCATATGTTTCCTAAGAATTCCAACATTCTCAGTCTTGTGCTGTGGTTAACATTCTTTTCTCTACCAGACATGTTCTCTTTTTCCTTCTTCCCATCATACCAATCTGCTAACATCTTACTCGGCCATTTAAAAATGCCTTATTTTAGAAAATTATTTATTGGCAAGTACAACTGGGAGCACTTTCACCCTTCTTTGACATTCTGTGTTCCATTACTAGTACTTCTACAGAGATACTTGTTCATTTAGACAAATACTTACTAATACTTTATAACAATTGCTATGCTTTTATTATTTGTGTACCCTTATTGTACTTTACTCAAGTAAAAATGGCATCTCTTTGAATGCACTTACTAGGTTTCACTCATTTTTTAATGTCTCAATTATAGTCATTATCACGCTGGATGTTGTAATATAATTTCTTCAAGTCTTGCCTCCCAAGGAGGGTCTCTTATCTTGGCTTCCTCATGACAGCAAGGTGCTTATTCTTACCTAGACGTTGACTTGTGCTCCCCACCATCATTTTCACAGTGCTCTCCGGCAAGCATTCCACTCAAAACTCACTTATGATCTGTACCAATCTGCAATCATGCATTCTGCTATCTGTCTCTTTCCTTGAAAGTCCTGTTGGCTACAAAACAACTGCAATACACGAATAGGTTAATAATATGTTATTTCTCCCAAAATTAAAACTATTGGCATTTAACAGGAACTTAGGGTAGATAAAGGGTGACTCACCTCTAGAGAATTTATGAGTGACTGGCAGGCTGATAGGAGTGATATTTCGGGGCTGGAACAGTTTTCAGTACTCTGTAAGTGGCTGACAAGTTTATCTATGTCTGAGAGAGAACATGGGAGAGTCATTTAAACATGCACCCATGCACTCACTGACAAATAGAGCATGACCCTGCAATCGTATGAATGCAAGATTCCTAAGGACAATATGAAACAGAAGCCCCAGTTCACCTGCCTTTGGTTGCACAGTGAGGGCCTGGTGATTGCATGAATCTGGATTCAAACAAGATAACTTTTTTCACTCTAAATCACATCCTCCATTTTGTCTTGGTATGAATGGAAACATTAATGGATATAGAGAGATGAATTAGAAAAATAATCTCTAGCATCCAGTTGAAATATTAATATCTTGAGAATCCCACCTGTACCTTTAATTGCGACTTTACATCTGTCTCTAGGTTGTATCCTCAGATTCACTGAACCCATAATAAAAATGAAATATTATAATAATAAGAGTTTTAGCCCTGATTTGAAGGGAAACTTTGGAATCTCAATATCGTGCTATGGAAGACTGAACTCCTTCCTTCTCTAAGACCTGATAGAATCTACTCTTCCAATAAACAAAAGGCTTATTCTATTAAAAATATTTTGATCAGCGCTTCTCATTTGATAGGAGATGTGATGATAGGAGTAGTTCTGGTGGTGGTGATATCTTGTACATTTTTCCAGACACACATTTCACATAAGTGAGCCAAATAACACAATGTATATTTCTTTCTCTCTCTCTCCACACACACACACACACACGCCTGTGCACACACATCCATGCATATATACAGACACTCACACTTTTGGCAATTAACTGAATACATACGATGATTTTGGTGATAGCAGTCGGCAAGTTAACCCAGAAAGTATGAGCAACTTTTCTTTTAGATCTGTTAGATACCATTTTCTATGAAAATAACATTGCAGTACATCAATATAGTAGGCAGTTAGTGACAATCATTAATTTATAATAGGTCACAATACGTCTGATAGATAGAGCTGATAGGTTCACTTGGTTTTGCCATAGTCCTAAATCTTGGGTGAGTTTTATTGAAGATAAAAATATAACGTTAATGAGTGATAGAAATTCACATGTGAACAACCACTTAGGTGAATGATTTTAAAAATCTTTGTTTTGGCTGGGTGTGGTGGCTCACACCTGTAATCCTAGCACTCTGAGAGGTTGAGGCTGGAGGATTGCTTGAGGCCAGGAGTTTGAGACCAGCCTGAGCAAGAGCAAGACCCTGTCTCTACTAAAAATAGAAAGAAATTATCTGGACAACTAAAAATATATAGAAAAAATTAGCCGGGCATGGTGGCACATGCCTTTAGTCCCAGCTACTCGGCAGGCTGAGGCAGAAGGATTGCTCGAGCCCAGGAGTGTTGCTATCAGCTAGGCTGATGCCATGGCACTCTAGCCCAGGCAACAGAATAAGACTATGTCTCTAAAAAAAAAAAAAAATCTTTGTTTTAAAAATATTTCAGAAAGTTACAACAGAGCTTAAAACAAGAGCTAATGTTTCACTGAGAACGAAGTATATAAAAATATGCCCCATGAAAAGGAACTGACATATTTAATTGAATGATAGGAATAAATACCAAGATTAAAAAATAATACATGTATTTGCACACACATACACACACATACACACATAGTTTTCATTTTAGTATGGCTTTGGAAATTTTAACAAAAGTCCCAGCAAAGTATCAGTCTTATCAAAATAAAGACAATTTAGATTTTTTGTTGAAAACAAAACCAAAGAAAACAAACATTAAATTATAAGAAAATATCCATACACACCCAGATGAGTGAAAAGATTTCATTAAGAAACTTATAATTCCATGAGTGCTCAGATTTCATAGTTTGTACATCTTGTGGAAACAAACAGATCCTTTACCTCCTCTCCTTCCACAAAGAAAATGCATACACTTAAATCTGGGTAGAATATGAAAAAGGAGATAAAGTAAAACCAAAGAGATTATTTTATTCGTTGATTAATTTATTCAACAGATTTATTGAGTACCCACTATGAACCTGGCATTTCTTATTATTAGTGTAGCACCCGACATAAATTCCAATAATAAAAGCTTCTTAATTGCTGTTTCCTTTTGACTGAAAGAATGGTTCTCTTTGTGCAATTCATATATTTACATGATTGTAGATTCTATGAAGGAAGACATCCATTTTATATAACTTAAAATTTTGTTTTTCTAGGGAATATGTAAATAAATATAAGCCATGGCTTTTCTTTGCAAAAAGCGTAAAATCAATTTGAACAACTGGAATAGGTAAGATTAGCACAAATTTAAGAAATAAAGAAAGGAAGGTGGAAAAGGAAGGAAGAGAGAGAAAAAAAATCCCAAGAAATGATATTTAAGTGTTAAGATGCGTAGTATAGATTTTACATTGTGCCAGTGCAGCCCGAAGTTATCGGGAAGGCGGAAATTGGCTTTACAAAATGAGTGTGAGATGAGGCTTGAAAATCTTGTGTGGATGCCAAAGGAAGTGGGAAAAACATGTAAGTAATAGATATGGACAGGAAAAAAGTATTATGCATTCAAGATACACTGAAAAATAGTCTTTTTAGGGATGGAGGGATAAGTTTAGAAAGAAAAAAATGTGTTGGCTTTGAGTGACAGTCTAGAGAATTTTGACTTTTTCAAAAGCAATGACAAATTAAACATCTTTAAGGATGATTAGTTTCATAAAAACAAATGAGCTAGATTTAAGAAGGAAAATTTTCTGGTTTGACATTGCCTTACAGGGTATGTCGGAACATGAGTGCTCAATGGCATGATAATAACATGTTTTGTGAAAAGTAAAACAGGGGGAAAATACTGGATTAGACAAAATTGGGCAGATTTCCTTATCGCAGAATTTTCTAGAATCTTAAATTTCCAAATACACGTTTTTATAAATCTCCAATCAGGGAGAAATGTACGCACTATTTTTATACTTGTTCCATCACTGGACACAGGACCACAGTTTGCAAAATGCTATTCCAGGTATTCATGGAAACATTAAGATTACAATGATCTTACAGGTTATGGGATGTAACCACCAGTTTGGTCATTAACTCAACTCTTTATTCTCAGGGCCAGATGGTTCTGTGAACTCTAATGAGCATTTCAGGGATGAGACCTCATCTTTTCCAATGGCAACCACTAGGCTTTCTGTCAACACAGCCTTTCTGTCTTTATACAGGTCCAATATTAGGAAGTCTGCATGGTTATCTTCTCTAATAATCAATTACAGTTCTAGTTCTGTTAATATATTCTTTAAAAAAAACATTGGGTATGATATTATTGAAAGGTATGTCTTAGCAAAATGGTTCAAAGCACTAAGTTTTGGCTGAATGAATGAGTAGTAGTCTATTGGCACAACACAACAGAGTGAACAGTAGGTTTCTCTAGGGTCCCTGTCATAAATAGGAAGTGGGAGCTTACCCTTTGCAGTTGTATTGTTTTACATTTAGACATGGTCTGCAAGTTTACCTCTAATGACTGTTGAAAAATGGAGCAGTTCCAATTCCCAGATTCAAGGGGTTATGAAGGATACTCTGATTGAGCAAGAGTTTTATCCCCAAAATAGACTGTTACATGGCAGCCAACCGTAGTGTGGACAAAATAGGTCATGGAGCAATAACTCCATTAGTTGTTTTTGAGGTGGACTGTGGGATGCCAGGTGTCGCTATCTCCAGGGCTCTGTCTTTTTATTTCACTTTTCTGGCCCCACAGGAGTTTCATAGATAACCTGATTTCACTTCTTTTTGTTCAGAGAGACAGAATACTTAACCACTCTACGCACCTATAGTTTCATTTCTGTTTAAGGATATTTCTTTGCCACATAGATAGAAAAACTGCATTGGAGCTAGGTACTATCAAAAATAGAAAAATATGTAGCTGCAGAAAAATAAACAAATATTAACTTCAGAAAATAGGGTACTGTTTTCTTTTTTTCTTTTTTTTAATGCTGGTCAAGTGAAGCAGAGGGAGTGGAGAAGGAACAAAGGAATCTGTAACTGGTTGTGACCAATTAGTTGTAAATATCACTGCACTCGGACCAATCAAGAGGGTATTTTTGATAACACTATTTTAAATTATCATTGCATAATTTTTCATTAAGATCACAGTTTCTATCTAATATCTGGAATAAGTGTTTTGTCATGTGTTGAGCACAATTTGTAAAATGATTCATTTTGTAACCAAGGGATTTATATATATATATATATATATATACATATATATATGAATATATATATATACGGTTCATTTTTTTGTTGTTTTTATTTTTTATTTTTTTATTTTAGCATATTATGGGGGTACAAGTGTTACGGTTACTCATATTGCCCATGCCCTCCTCGAGTAAGAGCTTCAAGGTTTATTTTAATAATAGCAATGTGAAGATAAAATATCTGACAATTAACTTATCTTGAAATATCCATCTAAGTAAAACATATTTAATATAAATTTTGTTTATAATATTTATGTAATTCATGGGACATGATTTTATATATTATATACATAATATATGTTATTATATTATGTATAGTAGAGACCATCTATTGACAGACAGAAAAAGATGGTTTCACTTCTATAGGGATGAGAGAAATCCCCAAACCAGGAAATCTAAGCTATTTGTGTGAATGCATTAAATACTAAAATTTAATGGGTAAAATAATATAACATTGAGTCTTTACAAGAAGTTATTAGCAGAGTGCCATGTGAGCATGTACTATTGACGAATTTGTTTATTTGGATCTGAGATATGTTCATTTACTATCAAATGCTATTGCTTTTCTGAAAAAAAAAAAAAAGGAAACTTTTTACAGTCAGCATGAAAACAGAAATAAGCCAAATAATTATTGTAATGATGGAAAGAGTTGGAAATGCAACGTACAATTTCATATTAAATCAAAGTCAGAGTGTTTTTTGGCCTGGTTTGCTAATGCTTTCTGCAACCGTAAAATTTGGCTGCAACGGGGCAATCCAATACTGGTGAGAAAACTCTGGGATTATTACCACTTTTTCAAAAGGGAAAAAGAAGAAGTCAAAGAAATAGAACCAACGCATGTAAAGCAGGGACTGTTTACTCCCATAACAATTGAAGAATCGTAGCTATTTTGGATTAGAACCGCAGCCTGCAGACCAGGAGTTTGCCATTTGTGTTAACATCCTCAGGCGCTGAAAGGCCGCACCTGGCAAGTGTCCGGTTGGGCAGAAGCAAAGCCGGCCTCTCTGTTTTTGGCCCTGTGCTAACATTCACAGCCTGTTGCTAATTCTTGCCCAGCCTTAGAGGGGATGGGACCAGGAAGTTAACACAGCTCATCTCAAAACAAAATAAACCAAATGCCCTGCTTTTCTTCTAGATGTAGCTCCTATACTTACTATTAACACCTAGGATTCGTAATACTAATGGTGGGTACAGGAGCCTTCAGTTCTTGCAAATCCCTCTTTCCCTAGCCACCCCTCCCTTGCCTGGCCTCTCTGTTGGCCAACATAGTAATGGTTTATTTCCATGAGAGACTCTGAAAAGAACTTGACTTTAAAATATTAGGTTTGTTTTTCCTCCTGCTTTCCTTGGATTTCTTCTCTACGAAGATAAAGAACAAAAAAATATATATATTCTTGGTGCAAAGTCATAGTTTCCTTGAACCTAAAAGCCTTCAAAGTGAGCACAGCACAAACACAGTGACAGTCTGGATGTTCTGGGATGAGAAACCAACCTCATCTTTAAAAATATTTTCTTATTTTAGGGTGTACTTTCTATTCAATACAACATATTCTCCCACAATATCCTTCTTCGATTAATTGTGAAAAACATGAGTCCCTTTAGAGTTCAAAACCCTCATCCATGGACAATTTTCTTTGTGTATCTTGTCTTCTGAAAATATTCTCTGTTTACAATGCTGTCAGTTTATAACATTATTTAGGATAGATTAATAGTGTAACAGGTCCAAAGATTTATATTTTTCTCTTCTGCAGTTGAATTATTTTGAATCTCATACTTTTAATTGTGTTTTAATTTTTTTTGTTTTTTGTTTTTGGTTTTTTTCCTTAAAAAATAATAAAGGATGTTTTAGAGTAAGAGTTACTTTTGTTTTCACACACAACATAAATCGTATTTGGTTGCTTTTTTTTTCTAGGAGTCAGATTAAAGATTATCTCCCTCAAAACTTCAAACTGGTCACTTGGCTCTGTACTGAATAAATAACTTTGTTCTGAGGTCTTCACTTATGTCTGGGCAAAGCCAGCAGCAATTATGGCTCTGGGCTTTGCATTTGTATAAACTGCACCTCAGAGGAAGTTAATGCATAATAGCTTATTGCTAGAATCTGTGGCAAATTTGAGGTTTTTTTTTTTTTATATCTCTACACACACGTGTTTGTTGGGCCATTTAGCTGAAAATATATCAGCAGTGTTCAAAATAGAAGTATGCATGTGTCTAATTATGTGCATAAACAATAGGCCAAGATTGCAACATCTGGTATTTTTGTGCAATCCTGAATACCTGACTTCAGGCTTCCCAGCAGGAGGGACCATTTTTTTGGACAAGGGTACAGTGATACTCCAAGGGCTCAGATGACAGGGATTGTGAATTATCTTGTTCTCTTCAGTGCCCAGGGACTCAGGAGACTGCTTTTCCGGTTCATGTTCATTTTTCTCCTAACCTTTGTACAATGAACTTCTGTGTGTGTGTGTGTGTGTGTGTGTGTGCTGCTGTGTGTGTGTGTGTGTGTGTGTGTGTGTGTGTGTGTGTGTGTTTCATTTCTTCTCTTTCTAAACCAAGTTGGTATGGAAGAGATAGTGTGGTACCCTTTCCTATTGTAATATTCTTCCCTTTTTTTGGAGTTAGTTATTCTCCCACCAATGTTTTCCTCCTCCCTCCAGCGATTCCTTTGCAGGATCATACATTTCTAAGGCTGGACAGGAATTTGAGGGGCAATCTTGGGAACAGGGACCTGACATTTGCTGGTCAACTCCCGTGAGGTGGGCTCTTTATACACACTCTCTGGGTGAACTTCCTGCCCTGAAGTCTTCAGACTTGAGAAATACATGGCCAGCCCAAAACACAACCAATAGTCTAAGCCATTTTTTCCGTTATATTCAAGAGGCCCAGAGAGGTGAAGTGATTTATCTAAGCTCCTATACCTTGTTGCTGGCACTAAGTGGGGGCAAGGAATGAAACCAGAAAAACAAAATCATCATCACAAGAACAATAAAAACAAACTGTTCCTCTGAGAGAACAAATGTTTTTGCAATTGCAGATACACTTCTTTAGCTGTAGTATAAGCCAATTCTATTTTTACTCTCAGTAGACAATTAACAGTTGTTCCTGCATAAATGTCCAAGGATGACGTGTTCTCATATATCCACATAGAATCTTGTCCCAGGGCTGTGCACCACCCTCCCCATCCCCTGCCCCAACACACACACACACACACACACACACACGCACACACAGCCGAGTGTGTTTAGTATTAGGATTCTCTGAATTGTGGGCTAAAGACACTATTTGGAATGATCCAGATTCCAAACTGGTTTCTGCCCACTGGACGAGGCTACTCTGAGACAGTGTGGGAGGTGACCAGAATGTCAGTGTGAAAGTCACTGGTGTCTGGCCTCCATGCCGTCAACCAGAGGGAGTTGTGTGAGTCAGTGGGAAGAAATAATGAATTGCTCACAAGAAAAGTATATGAGAAACTATTGGGCAAGTCTCACTGGTAATCGACACAAGGGACACTGGTGCTATTTCAGAACAGATGCTTCTAGACTCCTGGTGGAGTGAGGAGGGGCAGAATGTCTTCCCAACTTCCTATTTTTCAAAACAGTGAAATAAAAACAAAAGAATGTGGGTAAAATAGCTTCTACCCACACGATACCACAGACATAGCAAAACTGTATTTCCTAGTGTTCTTTTGGATTAATAAATTCCTTTCTACTGCAAATGGTTTACAATTTTGTCCTGCTTTATTTTTTCTAAATTATCCATAAAATTTCTGTCTCTTTTAGATCAATTCAAGATCAGACAGGTCTAGAAGAATTCCTCCAACAATTCAAGTCATCTTTGACCACAATTTCCTTTTGACATTTAAACATATCATAATCTCTTTTTAAAAGAAATGTCTTTTTCTCTATCTCCGCCAAAACCTTCAGCATTTAAATTTTACTTCTCTTCCTGCACTTTCATTTTTTACATACTAGTGATTTGAGATCTGTGTTCATATTTATCTCTACAACTAGGATGTAATATCTTTGAGAACAGATGTCTCAGCAGACATCGGGCCTTTGCATCTCTGCACCCAAAGACTCCGTGCTGTGCCTCTATGTAATATCATGCCAGCATATGTTGCAAAACAGATAAGGTCTTGATTAATTAAACATTTGCATGTCCCTAACTCATCTTTTCAGTAAGATTGTAAACTCCGGAAGAGCAAGAGCTCTGCATTTTGACTCCCTCTGGTATTTGGCAAATGGTGGATATTTAAAATAAATATGGATTAGTTGAAGTAAGACAAGAGACAATCATCACAGTGGGTGAGAATCTGTGCTGAGCATATGTGAGCATCCTGTTACTAAGAACTACTACCAGTGACTGAATATGTACTACTTGATAGACACTGCCTCAAGTAGTTTTTAGGAATTATCTCATTTAGTTGTTTCTCCTACCCTATGATAAAGCTATATACTATTTCTATTTAGAAACAAGAAAATTGAGGCACAATAAGGTAAGTAACTTGCCCAAGTTCGCCCTACTCAGAACTGATATAACTGGCATTGCACCCAAATCATCTAACTCCAAGATGAAGTCATTATCCATTAATATTCTAAGTAGTATATGTCCAATATAACTTGATAATAAAGTTTCGATTTTTTATGAAGTTAAAATTTACACACAGCAAAATTCTTCCTCTTTGGGCACAGCTCTGTGAGTTTTTGACAAATGCATATAGTCAGTCATGCATCCAGCAACAAAATGAAGATACAGACTAGTTCTATCATTAAAAAATCCCCCGTGCTGCTTTAAAGTCAACTCTTCCTTGGCAGACACTGATCTTTTTTCTATCCTTAGGGTTTTGTATTTTTTAAAATGGAATTGTATAGTATGTGGTCTTTTGAGTCTGATTTCTTTTACTTAGAGAATCTCTACACTTATGAGATTCATTCATGTTGTGACTTAGACAGTTCATTCCTTTTCATTGCTGAGCAAGCAGTATTCCATGGTCTACATGCACCACAGTTCATCCATCTGCCAGTGGAAGGTGGCATGTAGTCTGAAATGAGTGGTATGTAGTTTTTATGATTGTAAATACAACCACTGTAAACATTTGCATATGTGTTTTTGTGTTAACATACGTTTTTGTTTTACCCAAGAGTAATACCCAAGAGTAAGGTTGCTGGGTCATATAATAGGTATATGGTTAGCCCTATGAGAAACCGCACAACTTCTTCCAGAAGTTGCTTTACCATTTTGCACTTTTACCAGAAATATACCTCTGAATCCTCACTGGTATTTTGTATTGTCATCTTTTTTTTAGTTTAATCTATTTTTTTAGTTTAATCTTTTTAATAGTTTTATAATTTTAGATTTTCCATTTAGGTTGATGGTTCACTTTGAATTCTTTATTATTTTAAAAATAATGCAATGTAATGATGATGGTATTTGTTTTGCATATGGTATGTTCAATTGTTCTAGCACTGTTCATTAAAAAGATTATCCTTTCTCCATTTAGTAGTCTTTTTCCTTTGTCAAAATCAATTGACTATAGAAGTGTGAGTCTATTTCTGGAAACTATATTCCAGGGATAGCAAACTTTTTAATAAAAGAACCAGATAGTAAATATATTAGGCTTTATGGGTCATACAATCATTTTTGCAACTACTCAACTCTACCACTTTAGCATGAAAGCAGCCATGGACAATAAATAAAAGAATAATTTTAGCCATGTTGCAATGACATTTGTATATAGAAACTGATTGTGGGCTGAATTTGGCCCTGGGGCTGTGGTTTGCTGATCCCTGCTCTATTCTGTTCCATTTATCTATGTGTCCATTTTTATGCTAATGACATTCTATCTTGATTAATATAGCTTTATACTAAGTCTTGAAATTGGGTAGAATGAGTATTTTAACTTTGTTTAGAAAATTGTTTGACTATTTGCCTTTCTACATAAATTTTAGAAACAGCTTGTCAATTTCTACATCAAATCCTGCTGGGATTTTGGTTGGAACTGTGTCAAGTCTATAAATTAATTTAGAAACAATTGATATCTCAGCAAATCTGAGTTTGAGTTGTTCCAACTATGAACATGTTACTTTTTTTTTTTTTTTTTTGAGACAGAGCCTTGCTCTGATATTTGGGCTACAGTGCCATGGTGTCAGCCTAGCTCACAGCAACTTCAAACTCCTGGGCTCAAGTGATCCTCCTGCCTCAGCCTTCCGAGTAGCTGGGACTACAGGCGAGTGCCACCACATCCATCTAATTTTTTCTATTTTTTTTTTTTTTTAGTACAGACAGGTGTCGCTCTTGCTCAAACTCCTGACCTCAAGTGATCGTCCGGCCTCGGCCTCCCAGAGTGCTACATTACCGGTGTGAGCCACCACAGCCAGCCTTATCTCTCCTTTTAAAATTTTTATTGATCTTTTATCAGTGTTTTATGGTTTTAAGCACATATATTTTGAACATTTTGTTAGATTCATACCTAAGAGTTTCATCTTACTTTAGTTTAAAAATTTCAATTTTCAAATTGTTCATTCCTAGTAGATATAAATGTGATTGGGATTTGCATATTGACCTTATATCCTATGACCCGGTAAGCTCACACATTAGTGCTCATAGCTTATTTACAGATATTTTAGAATGTTGTACCTAATTACGTCATCTGTAAATAGTTTTGTTTCTTCTATATCCTTTTTATTACTATTGTTATTTTTTGTTGTTGTTGCACTGGGTAGGGCCTTCAATTTGATGCTAATGGGAGTAGTAAGAGAAGACAGATTTATCTTCTCAATCGTAGGGAGAAAGAATTGAATCTTGCATCATTATGTATGATGTTAGCTATAATGTTTTTTTTGTAGATTCCTTTTCTCCTTGAGCAAGTATCTTATTCCGAATTATAATAAACTTTGTCAAACGTTTTTTCTGTATTTACATGATACTAATATGCTTTTCCTTCTTCATTATGTTGATAAGGTGAATCACATTGATTTTTTAATGTGAAACTAGTCTTTCAGTTCTTGGATAAGCCCTGCTTGGAATATTGTATTATCCTTTTATATAATGCTGGATTTGATTTGCTAAGATTTTGTTGAGATTTTTGCTAACTGTCTAAATCCTATTCCATATTCCTAGTCAGAGAGTTATGCTTTCTTTCCCAACCTTCTTTACAGTTATTTTGAGGCCACGTGATTCCTTCTAGCCAACTGGACCAAGTGATTTATGTTCTTTTAAAGTTTGAAGCATGAGTTATCTCCTTCTCTTTCATTCTCCGCCAAGGTGATTGTGCTGATACTGTGAAGCCTCAAGCTTGAAACAGACTCAATCCTTGAGTCACTACTCAGAAGAAAGCATCCCTGGTGAAACCTTGGACCTGCAGCACATTTTGGGTAAATAGATAAAAAGTTTTGTTTATTAAGTCACTGAGATTTTAAGGTTAACTTTTTAATACCATATAAATTAGACCGTCCCATCAAGTAAAAATATAAGATTTTAGTGGGTTATGTAGGAAGAAATACGATTGCTTAAAGGTGATTGCTATTTGAGATAAAGTACCTCAGTTTAAGGCTGCACATCTGTTATTCAGAATTGTCACTAATCTCAATGTAACATTTAATTTAACTGTTTGGAAAAAAAGATCCTAATGAATCTCTGCTTCCAAGACTTAGTCAAGAATAAAAGTGGATATTCACTCAATATTTTAAACTGAAAAATTTTTCTACAATAACGACTCCTAGAGCAGTTGGTCCATTTCCAAGGCACAGGAATACAGAATTAAGATTTCCAACCTGAGTATTCAGTAGAGAGATCCAGCTAGCTAACCCTTGTCAGATCTAAAAATAATCTTCTGTGATATTAAGCAAGGCCAGATAAGCAAAATGAAATCTCTCAAAACAATTTATATGAGTCCCTTACTGATCACACCTTAATAGCTAGAAGGAACAATAGACAACTGTACTGTAATGGCTTTATCTCTTCCCTAAATGATTTTTTTTTACTTAAACCAGTTTAATTTAGCTATTGAATGCTACATAAAAAGAGTAGAAGGACCAATAAGCTTAACAAAGTGCCACCAGTCTTAAATTCTAGTTTATCTTGCATTAATAAAATGAGAGCTAGTGATAGCCACCATTTTACAGTTATATGCATTAAATTTTAAAAAATGGAGTAAATGTCCAGGAAATTTTCTGCCCAATTATCCATTGGCTAGCGAAGTATTTTTCTTAATATATGATTAAAATTTTGAATGTGTGTAATATGGAAAGGATAAAAATCTCAAAAACTAGCATCTCATGCAACATACAAATTTTATATTGCCATATAATGTTATTTTATCAAAGTATATTAATAAATTCCTAGAGAATAAATTCAGTTGTGATCCTTACTAAGATTTTTTTAATAACCTCAAAAACATTGAGATGAAAAAAAGCTTTTGACAGTTCTGTGCTTTCAGTAGATGGCGCTGCCACATGTAATCGGATTGGCACGTGGGGTCTAACAGTAAGTGATGTTCTCAAACGGACGTGGAGGTTGCCCAGGTAGGACTTTCTCCAATAGCAGTTCCATATGGGCATGGAGACTATATGTTGTATTTGCAGAAACTGCCTATGCAGTTCTAGGGTAATCAACATCATAAGCACTGTTCTTAGCTACAAGCGCCATTTGGGAATATATAAGCAGATGTTGAACTTGTATTGCTTCGGGGTTGTAAATCTTGGTAGCAAGAGTCACGCTCTGTCCCCAGAAAGAGTGGGACTGTGATTACCCACCATACATTTTCCAGATGTTTTCCCTTGCCTGCCGTTATCACCTTCATCCTGCCAGGTTATATTTCTCTTCGCTTTTTTTTTTTTTTTAAGTTTCTTTTAATTAGAAAAACTGTCCCCTCAAGTTTAGACATTTATGAATTATCTTCAAACTATAACTTTCATAAAGCAGGGTATAAAATACAAAGGTACACAAAGTTTACTGGGCTGGTGAGAATTTGATTGGAGAGGAGTATGACTGATCTCCCCTTGCCTCCCTTTGCACCCAAGGGAAAATTTCACAAAATCCTGTGTATTTCAAACTGTTATGGATATCAAAAAGTAGGATAGATCTAATCCCATCATAAGACACTTTTCTGGAGGTTCCTAAGATTAAAAGGAAGAGATCAGTCCTTTGCCAGGCCTTTGTCAGTGGTTAACTCCTGGTCTTCTCATTTCACCCTTCCTTTCCCCTCTTTTCTTACTTCTTCCTTTTCTGTATAATCCATACTTAGAGTCCATGAAGCTATCAATCTTATATAATATTGAGGAGTGATTGAAAGCAGAATAATCCTATAGTATTTTGTAATCTTTAAGGAAAACTTTGCTAATATAAATAAATACTGACCTTTCAAGATATATATATATATATTTTTTTTTTTTTTACAAAATTACCTTTCTGATGCTTGTACTTGCTACACCAGCCCAGCCTCTACTATCAGTCAGGAAGTAAAATACATATATCAACATTATTCAGTAGTAGTCAAGAATGTAATCAAGCCAGCATTTCTATTTAAAGGTAAATATAACCTACAAAACTTAGTAAAACCAAAAGGTAGTCACCCTATGTTCTGGATTTCTGTGGCTGTGGGTTTACACAAAGAATGTTCCAAACTGTAACAGATAATTAGTAATACAGACTACCTATATAGTTCATATACTAACCCAACCTAATGCTATGCTACCTAACTGATGCTACCACTATAACTGCTACTACTACTACCACTGCTACGATTATCACTGCTAGTAACATCTTAACATTGTATAACCATTTATAATTTATTTTAAAACTGTCTGAATGCTTTTATTTAATATTAAGTTATTTTTAAGCAACAAGAAACTAAAGTCAGAAGAAAGAGGAGGCTTGAGCACAAGTATGTCTTTAGTTTTCCAGGAGTGAGAGGAAAGGGCATATTCATCCATTTCCAGGTCGTTTTTTCCCTCCCTATCAAATATTTAAAATTTTAAAATTGGTAATCAACATGAATAATGTTCAGTAGCCACATGATTTATTTATTGCATTGATTTGTAAAGGTTTTTTGAAAAATAAAAACAACAAAAAATAATTTTGTATAATTTACCATAAATTCTTACCTTCCCAAGTTGGCCTACCTCAGGCTACAAAAGTCATCTTATAAGCATCTTCAATTCATGCAGGTAGTAAAACATTCTCAACATTAAGAAAACTCAGATTAGACTGACAATCAGATTCATTTGTGAAAATCATCATTCACATTCATATTGCATTATGAAAACAAAAAACACACATCTGCTAAAATTGGCACTCTTGTCTTAACTGACTCATGAACAGGGAGTGATATGCTATAATTTGCCAACAGGTTCATGTACCAATTTGTGGCCTGGGTTGACATCACATGATCTTTCTGCTGTTGCAATCTCTGGCACATGTTTCTCTCACTGAATGCCAGTTGTAGGTCAATGGACATTTCTGAGAAAAAGAACACAATGTCAAAGAGAAGCCTGCCACTTCTCAAAAAGTGTTAACATAAAACACATTAAAAATTGATTAATGGGTTCTACTGGGTCTTTTCTTTCTTTCTTTTTTTTCAAAAGAGTCAGTCAAGATGGGAGTCAATTTTTTTTCAGAAATTACGTCATTATGACACAGAATAGCAATTGTTGCTGTACTGACATGTACCATCATAAATAACACTGTTAATAAATTAATTCATGACCATGCTTTTATATCTATATACTTATATCTAAATATAAAATGTGGAAAATATTTCAAAAATAGAAAGTAAAATATATTAATATCTAAATATAGAGCTTCTCTTATTATATTTTTGTAATGTAATGAAAATAAATTGTGAACATATTTAGTTTAGAAAATAAAAGCCTTACAGTGGAGCCTAAAAAGCTGTGATTTCTCTTCCAAATTGAGGCAATTTGTAAGTACGTGTCAAAGCAGACATCTTCTTTTAATTACGTAGTAAATCATGTAGTATGAAAGCTTCCTAGGAGATTACTGGGAAAGGATGTCCTTGGCTACGTCTTTGTACACAGTCAATTATGGTCTTCATCGGGGTATGAAACCAAACATGGCAGAATTGAAAAGAAATATTGAAAGACAACAGATAATAATAAAGACTGGGTGTCTTGGGTGAGTAACTATTGCAATCCGTATCAGAAACTTACCCCCATCAGTCGATTCATTTGAAAAGGCCTCCAGAGAGACACTGGAATATATTGGGCTCTGGATTCAGGCTCCCTGGTACATATCACAGCTCTGCTACTTCCTTTGGCAATTTACTTAATCTCTTTGTGTATCAGTTTCCTTATCTGTAAAATGAGGATAATAAGCATACCTTGCACATAGGCATGTTAGGAGAATTAAGAGAATTAACATAAAACACTTTTAAAAGTTTCTGGAATACAATGAACATCCCAATGTTTGCTCTTATGAATATTACTGGCTGTAGAACATTGGGGGGAAGATTACAGAAACTATTGCCTACTGTGTGATAATTTAATCTGGGCCTCTAGACACCCAAATCCCTTAAACATAACACTGAGTAGAGGATGTACTCAAAACAAGTGGTTGACATGGACTGAGATGTCTTTGGTCATGATCTTCTTCTTGGCTATCGGTTTTGTGCTGGGTGGTGATCTAGTGGAGTTGCTAAAGCATCACATTTCCAACTCAGCAGGGTCAGAAATGTTCAATAACTGAAATCATATGATATGTGAGCCAAGGGCCAAGATCTCTGGATAGCTATTATATTTGCCTAAAATTAAGTAAATATTTAATATTTGTTTCAACACCACTTTTAAAATATGAAGATATTGGGAGTCAATTTTTTTTTAATATCAGCCAATTTTTATCAGATCTTTGCTTAATGATGTATAACACAATGCCACTGCATCACTTGTTAGTGCCCTCTCTGGTTACAATTGCAATTGGTCTCCTCAAATTCTCGAAGTCAAGCCAGACTAAGTCAAGCAAGACTGTGACACAGAAAATGCATGGGGAGGTGAAGTTGATAACAGGCATCTTGCCAACTCTTATTTCAGTCATACATACAAATTCAAAAATCATATTTCCATATGCTCTTCCTACTGTAAGCCTTCTCTATTATGGCTTTATTTTGCTCTGTTTATAGAAATGGTTTTATACGCTTCATTTAGTAAGTGGCATCAAATTCTAGGAGCATTAGGATACAGAGTTTATTAGTTGGCGCTCTCTCTGTACTACAAAATCCACTGCACGTTGATTGCAAATAATTTGCAAAGCATAAAACCAACATATTTGTCAGTAGTTAGATGCACCCACTCAAGAATTCTAAAATTAGCAGCACCTATATTATTAAAATATATCTTGGGAAGGACAACATGGCTGTTCAAGCCACTGTGTATAGACACATGGTTGGCAGGAAGATGAAAGTGTGAACTGGTAATCCCTGAAAGCTCTAATAAGTTATAGCTGGAAGACTTGGGAACATTTTACATTTTTAGGAATTAGATTTTGATTGTGTTGGGGGAGATGAGAGAGAGAGAGAGAGAAAAAGTAGGATCTGAATTGCTCCTGTATCACCTTAAGAGGGGAACTCTCTGCTATCTCAGCTGAATTTTCAGCAACCATAGTTTTGAACGAATTAATGTTCTGAACAGCTCTTATGAGATTCATAGAATTATTCTTCTATTTTCCCTGTTGGCTGTAATCTTTAAGAAAGCTATCTTGAAATTAATGTGAAATGCATCAAAGACAACAAGCTGACATCCAGCCATACTTCGCATTGCCTGTGACATTTAAGGAGGTAATCATCAATTCATCACGGTAACACAGGGGTAATCAAAATATGTAAGTTTAAGTGGGGCTGAGAATTGAATGCGGGCAAGGTGTATTATGCAACTCCATGAATAAGCAATTTTGACAACTCTAAAAAAATAGTTGAAGTATAAAATAACTTTGAGATTAAAAATGAACAAATTCCGACTAGTGTAAAACAGAAAAACAACCAAAGACAAATAGCTGACTTTGAAACAATCCCAGGTGGTTTTAGTGTAATTTTGCCTGGCAGAAGGAACAGTGTCAATGATTTCCAAGGTTTCTTTGAACCTTCCTGTTTGATCACTCTCATTTCCTTCTTTCAAGGGCACCACATGCGTTTTGAATGCCCTGTCTGTAAGATGTGTGTTTCCATCTATGCATTCACTCCTTTCCTTTCTCTGGACACAGCTCAGTTACATGGGTGGCAATGCCCTGTTGGACCTGGAATGGTGCTTGTTTTTCCCTCTAGTCTTGTAGTTAGGATGTGTCCTGAGGTTGGTAAAGTCAGAGCAAAGGGTTAGGGGCAAGAATAAGCATGTTTGTTTTTGAACTCAACATCATTATGCTTCCATTATAGTTCCTAATTCACAGGCCAGTGCCATTGTGTAGTAATATTTATTTTAAAATGCTATGGATGCATTCATGTAGTTTTTCCTGATGTTCATCTCTCAGCTGAATTTTTAAAAAATTGATTAAAACATTGTTCATACATCTTTCCTGATGTTCATGTTCATTTTTCAAGCAAAATTTTGAAAAATGAATCAAAATATTATCATTTAAGTAAAACTGATGTGAATATTATCCACAGAGACTGTCATAGAGCAAGAGTTTCTCCAATTAATTTTTTAAAATTTTTGCTAAACATATTTACCCAAAAAAGTGTAGACAAGTAAAAATAGTTGTTCTTTTAAAAGAAGTCTTTAGGGCAGGCATGGTGGCTCATCCCTGTAGTCCCAGCACTTTGGGAGGCCAAGGCAGGAAGATCACTTGAGGCCAGGAGTTTGAGACCAGCCTGAGCAACATAGTGGGATCTCCAACTCAAAAATATATATAGAAAATATAAAAGGAATTTTTTGGCTGTTTCACTCAAAAATGACATGACTTTTGAGAAATTAAAAAAAATAACTTGATATAATTAGTAAAACATAAAATCTTAGATTAGGTACCTCCATTGCCCACTTCTGTAAAATGGGTACACCAATTTCAGTCCTGTCAATCCATCTCCTGGGACTATTAAACTACTAAATGAAAAATGTACCTAAAAATTACTTTGAAGTGTGTTAAGACCATTCACATGTAAAATAATATGGATGTTATGTTTTTCCAAAAGTTTTCCTTTTATAATTGTGCCTCCTGCAGAATTGCAGGGGGAAGTGAAAAGAGCGTGGATTTTAGAATTCTGCTCCATCATTAAATAGGCTGAAAGATGATTTTCAGATGATTTCATGTTTCTGATCTTTGTTTACTCATGTAAAAGTTGAATGATATTTCCCTTATGAAGATTTCTGTGACCATTGATGAAACAATATAAGTAACAGAACCAATATCTATCAACTTACTTACTGCATTCTTCCCTTTCAATAATGAGGTATGAGAAAAATAGGTTACTATATTTAGGGTATTGGCATTTTAGATACATTTGATGCAAGTTTTTGATATAATAATGTTCATTAAAGACACAAAACTGAGAATGTGTCTCACTCATCTTTTTTCTCTAGTGCTTAGCAAAGTGCTTGGTGCATAATAAACACTATAAATAGTCATTGATGCAAACAGCAAATGCTTAAAATGGTCACAATATATTTGTAAAAAATAAGACCTTACATTATAAAGTGCATATACTAAAATATAATATTATATTATTAAAAAACCCAAAACAAATTAACTGCAAATATAATTAATTGTACATTTTCTTTCCACTTTGAATTTATTAGGCCTCTGGGAAAGACCTAAATTGAATTTGTCAAAGAAAATTAGACTAATGCATATTTCTTATTGATGAGTTTTTAAATCATTCTCTTCACTGTAAGGGAAGATGGTGAAATAAAACAGGATTCCAGACTGTGCCTCCATCCTAACCTAGTAAAATAGACGTCACCCAACAAAACCCATATCAAAAAACAAACAAATAAATAAGTAAATCTAAGGGCTGAGTGGGGAGCTTGGGGAAAAACAAGGATAAATTCTTGAGAGTAAGAAATCCTACATGTCACCTGGTAACCTCAGCTTAGCTGGAAACCTTCCAGGGCTTGCCATATTATAGGCATATTTGACAGATTCAGTACAACAAATGGATTTAGGTATTTTAAGCAGAAAGGGATTTACTACAAGACATACAACATTTTTGCAAGGGCCAACATAGCATGACTCGGAACTACCAATGGCTCTATCTTGTTTAGAAACCACTGACATAGCGTGACCCTAAAGACTTGGAAGCCACCACCACTGCTATCTCCACTCCCACAACCACCTCAAAACCTCCTTACAGTGACCAGATAGTAGGTTCCAGGGGTTTCCTCCATAGCTCACTTCACCATGTGTGTCCCTGGGACCTTGCTTGCTTTCATCTTAGAGATGAATTCCAGGTATGGCATGAATAAATCTAATTTGTACCATTAGCCTACTTACAAAGAAGTCTGGGAAATAGAGTTTAAGTTTTCCAGCCTCTACCATACACATAAGAGGAGACAAGGATGGATGTTGATGGAATATATTCAGAGCCCCAGAGTGTTGTGGTTATTGGAGAACAAACTGAAGGTGACAGAGTGTGATATTCCCTTGCCTGGGTAGAGTGGCCTTAGCATAGGGCGTTTGAAGGGATCAGATTCTCTGTCAAATTCTGCCTTCAGCCCCACCCAGACTCTTCCTCTCGCACTTATACAAATCAGGCTATAGAAAAAACAGTCCAATTCCACATGCCAATGCTACAGAAAAGCCAGGGGAAAAGAGATGGTAAGAAAAGAGAAGATGAAAAACATACACCTTAAATATTTATAACTAAGTCATGTCTCCACAAATGCAAATAGCTTATTTTGCTGAAAGAATGACAGGGCAAACAGAATTCTAGTGGATTCAAAGAATATAAGTGCTGCCTAAGTACCTAGCACAGTATATGGGAGTGACTATGGGAATAAAGATTATATTTAATCTCCACTTTTAATCTATCTTAATTCAAGAAATTGAGCAATGCAAAAGTCTTTCTTTTTTCTTATTTAAAAGAATGTGCTTAGAAAGCATTAGTTGACAGATAGCTACTTCAATAGATAAAATATCCTTTTAAAATAATGCTAGTCTTTTTTTCTCCCCTAAGTCTCTATTATCCTATAGTGTAGCTCACTATCCTTGCTTGCTTTGGGCAAAAATGACTCATAACTCAGGTGCAAAGGAAGCTGTTCATTCTAATGCTATGGAAGATGTGTGTGTGTGTGTGTGTGTGTGTATGGAATTACTAATTAAGACAACTTTGTGCATGAATTTGGAAACTTAATTAGTAGAGCTGATTTTTAAAACAAATTCTTTCTTGAAATCATGTAGTTCAGAATAATATTCTTCCCTGTGGGCTGCAATTCTAAGAATTTTAATCATAATCTTTTCAAAGTAAGAATCTTTCTCAAGCCTCTTTTCATTAAGCAAATAATTTATAAGAAATTCTTGGCAAGCAGGAAGAAATCTCAAGCTCTACTTAGCAAATAACAACAACAACAAAAATTAAACTCACAGTTAATGCTTTTCAATACTTGTGAATCCAAAGGTCATATTTAGTGTGTGTGTGTGTGTGTATGTGTGTGTGTGTGTGCATGTGTATTTCCAGATTCAAAGCCCTGAACTAGATACACTTTTAGACTAAGAAATTTCAGATCAGAAATAAAATGGAAACCATTGGAAGATGGGTAAAAGCCTTGGATTTCAACTTTCCCTTTTCTCCACAGTTTCTTTATCATCTATGATATGATTGAAAGAGTGTTACCATGGGAGCTTAGACAAAGAGATTCCATCCTGTCTCAGGCACTCACTGGATGTGTACCCTTGGCTACCTACAGGACCCCATTGAGGTCTTGGTTTCCCCAGGTAAACCACATTAGGAGTTGTAACAATACAATCTCTCAGTTTCTAGAGTTCTAGGATTCATAAATATTTGCTGCTTCCTGCATTTTGAACATGGGCTTATCTATCCAAACAGCTTTATCTCATATAATAATGTTTATAAAGTTCTCCCTGTAAAGGTCTTTTACCTCCTCAGTTAAATATATTCCTAGGCACTTTATTTTCTTCGTTGCTATTGAGAAGGGAATTGAGTCTTTGATTTGTTTCTCAGTTTGACTGTTATTGGTGTATGAATGCCTCTGATTAGTGTGTATTGATTTTGTATCCTGAGACTTTACTGAATTCATTTATCAATTCAAGGAGTCTCCTGGTTGAATCTTGGGGTTTTCTAGGTATAATATCATATCAACAGCAAAGAGTGAGAGTTTGATCTCTTCTGCCCCCATTTGGATGCTCTTAATTCCGCTCTCTTGTCTGATTGCTATAGCAAGGACTTCCAGCACTATGTTGAACAGAAGTGGAGACAGTGGGCAACCTTGACTTGTTCTAGTTCTAAGTGAGAATGCTTTCAATTTTTCCCCATTCAGTATGATATTGTCTGTGGGTTTGTCATATATGGCTTGTATCATTTTTAGGTAAGCCCTGTCTATGCCTCTTTGGTTAAGCGTTCTTATCATAAAAGGGTATTGAATTTTGTCAAATGCTTTTGCTGCGTCTATTGAGAGGATCAGATTAATAGGGTCATGTCTATAAAGAAACTGAGTTGCTCACATGTTTTCTACTTCCTACCTTTGTCTTGTGTCTTACAGGTTACGGATGGCGTGATACATATTGTTCACATATGCCTGGTTATCCTTTCCCTCCCGCACACATAGGCACCTGCCTTTCCAGTCCCCTGACAAGTGGGCTGAGCCAGCAGGAAGCCTTTTCTGTCCCTGCACCCTATAAGGCCTTGTGTTATGACAATGAAGCCATAAGGTTGTGAAGAAGCCTGCACCTCTGTGTTGCTCCCAGCCACCAGACCTACAGTGAGTGGTCCAACTCTAAGAAGATGCAGATTCAGACATTCATGTAGCTTGCCCCCAGCCAGGTCTATGCAAAGGAATTAAGCATTCTGTTATTGGATGGTCAGAAGTAAAACATCACTGAGTGTGTGACATTAAGTAAGTCAGGAAGCAGCATAAGGAACAGCTACCATAGGAGAAAAACAAAGAGGCTCCAGGCAGAAGGCTCCAAGGCAGTAAAGAAACAAGGACGTGATAAAGGGCACTGCCTGGCTGAGAAGACCAGTTTATGAGCCAACCTCACTCCATCGGTTGATGTTGCATCTTTTTGGATAACCTGAACCACCTCATTCAAAAAGTTCATGTATTCTTTTCTCAATTTAGTTTCTTAAAAACACATTGGTTCTTAAGTCCATAGGTTGTAAAGTATACGTTGCTATGACCTGCACAATAGATGAAGGTTGAAAATTAAGCCAATAATGTAATTTATTTGTATATAAATCACTGATTTAGAATAAGTTATGTATTTAATCAACTTATTTATTTTGAATTTTCATTGGGTTGGTTTTGGGGTCATTAGGATATTTTGAAGGCATAACACTCATGCCTTGGTATCTGTGGGGCAATGGTACTAGGATCCCCATCAGATATAAGAATCCATGGATGCTCAAGTCCCTGATATAATATGGAATTGTATTTGCATATAATCTATGCACATCCTCCTGGATATTTTAAATCATCTATAGATTACTTATCATATGTAATACAATGCAAATGCTATGTCAACCGTTGTTACGTTGTATTATTTAGGGAATAAAGGCAACACAAATGCCTGTACATTTTCAGAACAGATGCATTTTTTTCCAAATATTTTTGATCTATAGTTGGTTGAGTCCACGGAGGGAGAACTCAAGGATTCAGAGGGCCAACTGTATATAGAACTGGACACTCAGAACTTAAATTTTAACTTTTACTGTTTTTCAAAAGTTATTGAATACCATTAATATTATTGGCCACTTTAGTGATGCCAACCATTCCCTTGGTGATTTCATTCTGGTTGTCCATTGCTGCCTAACTACCACCCAAATATAAGAGGTTAAAAATGGCCACCATTTAATTATACCTCATGATGTTACAGGTCAGGAATTCAGTTAGGTCTCTGCTGGGTGATTCTTCTACTTCAGCTGGCATCATCTCAGGTCACTGAGTGGTAGTCAGCCAGTAGCCAGGCTTATGTGGAGGGATCACAAGGGATTCATGCATATGTCTGGTACCTTGACAGAGGCATCTGGAAACCTGAATTTTGCCGGGTGCCTTTATGCATTCTTAGGGCCTTACAATGGGGTCTCTTCAGTAGGGTAGTAAACACCTACAAGGTGGCTCAGGGCTCTAAAACTCCGACGTGGAAGGGGCCAGTTCTCCGACAGCCCAAGTTTGTAGATGTCATGGTGGTACTTCTACTATACACTGTTGGTCAAAGCCATTGCAGACCAGCCTCAGAAACAGCCCCTGCCTTCTGCTGGGAAAACTTCAAAGCATCTGTGGCCATCTTCAGTCTGCCACAGCCTTAGACCAAAGGACCACACATGCAAACGTATAAGCTCAACTCAAACTGAGAAAGCCTGAAGCCTGATTTAATTCTAACAATAATAAATTACCAAAATAAACTAATCCTGCATTAAGATGGTGCTTAAATAAAAGATCTCTGCATTCCACTCAAGAACTTTAACTGTCACGAACAAATGCAATATTAAAATTTAATGCTTTGTTTGTAGAAATAACAAATGAATTCAATCTTTGAATCTGCTTGTCCTTCAATATTTATCTTACTATTCCTTTCTGCTTTTAGAAATAATTTACAAGAATTCTGCGTCTGATCGTCTATTTCCATAAAAGAAGAAAGTATCATTATCCAACATGTCCAAAGCTATGATAAATTCTAATGTCAGAGAAAGGGCTAACATACTGAAACATAGTAATGTCATAGTCTACCAATTGAACAAAGTCAGGGGGAAAATCTGGAAGGATCTGCAACATCATAGAGTCATATTAATTCATGAATTAGTACAAAGGACTTTTCATCACACCTGTGTCATGTTTCTCTCTAGTTTCTGACCCAATAGCATGTTTTGATGAAGCTCAGAGGAGCTAATGCTGAATTAAAAACGAGAGGGGAAAATTTGAATATAGAAACAAAAAATAGGATCTTTAATAAGTTTTTATGTATATATATATATATATATAATAGGATATATATATATACACACACACAAACTCTCTTTATACATAAAATAAGTAAATTCATATCATAATTTTTGTGTCTTTATAACCAGTACTATTTTTTTCCTCAGGAGAGGTTAATCTCTTGTTTCCATTCTATAGTATATGATTGAAGGGTCACACATGGGAAAATGCCATTCTTTAAAAACATTTCGCTTATAGCTATAATAACAGGAACTCTAGGACAGTACAGGTTACCTTTTTTGAGAAACAAAACATAAAGAGTGTTGTAATTCATGCTGTGGATACTAAATATTGAAGACTTAACAAGTCAGCTGGTTATTTTTGTGGATTTATTAAAAAATATGGGTCATTGAACAATCAATTTGATAAATCCTTCCATATGAAATAGTTAAATGAATACGAAGGACAATACATCAAAAATTTGCTATATAAGCAAGTACTTGATTAGTTACCAATAATTAATTCATAATTTTCAAATGCAGTTTTAAAATGTTAATCTTCATACGGTACTTCACAGCAATATATATGGCTAGTATAGCTTCAAACTGAACACTATCCTTGGTTTGCAAATGGAAAACACTTAATGATTCCATAAATAAGTGCTTACATCTATAGTACTTTCTGATGGAATGTATTTAACAAAATCTCCTTTTATTAGTTTCATGTATTATTTATATAATCATATTTATTATACTTCCATATAAATTATATTTTTATATAAACATACATATTTGATACCAAATTTTAATTTCTATATCACTATAGGCTCACTTACCACTTAGGTTTATTAGGAGAAGTCAAAAGGGTGCGTGGTTTATATGAACAACTTACTCTTAAGATGGAAATTTCACAGCTTCATAGGCATCTTCACGGATCAACTTCAATAGAGCATTTTGACCTCTGTTTTGTTTTATGCACAAAATATATACTTCTACATATTGGGAACATACAAAAAAGACAAAGATCTATTTGTGCTGCTTGTTAGTATTATAAAATTCTGCTACATATCTATAATACAGTTTTGAACCTCTCATTTAGAAAAATATCAACCACCAGGACAGAGACTCAGGAATTCTGTTTTGGAAGCAACATCACTTTTATAAAAGACATAAGAACTTGGAGAGTTAGTTGTCTGGCATGTGGAGATGGGTCTACATTTGTTACGTGAGACTCTAAGGGGTAGAGTCTCGTCCAAACAATAGGAATGAGGGTTTGGCTTTCTTTAAGCCAGGGTTATCCCCATAGTGGAAATGAGAATGCAACAGTTCGCATCATTACAGTGACTTGACAAGAGTCACATGCTAAGGAATTGGGTGGTCAACCCTGGAGAGTAGGTCCATTCTCTTTCTACTGTACCATCTGGAAGAAATGGCCAAGTGGTGTGGGAAACATAGATTCCCGCTGGGAGCAAGAAGATTTAGATTTCAGTTCAGTGGCATCAAGTACTTTCACATTATAATTCAACCATCACCACCACTCATCTCCAGAATTTTCCATCTTCCCAAACTGAAAGTCTAACTGAAACACTCACTCCCCATTTCCCCACACTCCCAGTCCCCACCAACTTCCATTCTATTTTTTGGCTATAGTCATTTGACTCTTCTAGGTACTTCCCATCAATGGAATCATAGAATATATTTCCTTTTGTGTTTGGCTTGTTTCACTTAGCATGTTGTTTTCAAGCTTCATCCATGTTGTGGCAGGTATCAGAATTCTCTTCCTTTTAAAGGCTGAATGATACCCCATTGTGCGTAGAGACCACATTTTGTTCATCATTCCTCTGTGGATGGGCGTTTGGATTGTTTTGGCTATGGTGCGTAATGCTGCTATTAACATCGGTATACAAACACCTGTTCAAGTCCCTGCTTTAATTATCTGGGGCAAATAGCCAGGAGTGGAGTTGCTGGGTCTTATTGTCATTCTATGTTTAATGTTTTGAGGACGCCCCATGCTATTTTTCACGGCAGCCATCCTCCCCCAGGAATGCACAAGTGTGCCTATTTCCCCAAGCCTCACCAACACTTGTTATTTTCTGGGTTTTGTTTGTCTTTAAATAATAGCCCACCTAGCGGGTATGAAGAGGTATCTCATTGTCATTTTGATTTGCATGTCCCTAATACCAAGTTGCTTTTGAGTAGAGACACTTTCCAGTGCCCTCCCCACCACCACCATCCCGCGTCTGCACTCTCACTTCTTTCAAGTAACATTGCCAATAACCAAATGACTCTAGAATCTTCTGAGCAGATTTCCCCATTCGTCTCTAGCACTGCATGCCCATTCAAACAAGAGTTTTAATTATACACATAATGTCACAGTGTCTGGGCCAACTGTACTTGGTTCCCTCCTCTAAGGTATGCCACGTGCTGATGTGACAACAGGAACCCTCCCTTACTCCAAGTCATTATCCTGCACACAGAACAAATAGAAGATACTGGAAAACCTCTTGAGGATTCTAAGTTCTTTTGCCCTTAGTTCAAAAATCAAAAGGAATCAGGAAGTATTCTCTCACTGGGTCAGAGCCAATGAGTCCTGGCCAGAAACAACTTGGTAGAGTTCCTTTCAGCTGGACCTGGGAGCCCAGGCCTTACGGGGAGGTCCCAGCGTGGTGGGGACATGATGAGTCCAGTGCCTCTCATCTGGTGTGGCCTCACTCCGAGGAGACCTGGGGGAGCCCATCACCTTGAACCGAATCCAGCTTAGAAGAGGTGACTTAGCTCCCAAACTCAGGGAGAATTTCCTCTCCAAGCCCAGGGGGCAAGGTGTAGGAGCTGTAGCCTTCCTATCAGTTTATTTTAAAACTCTGATAGAAGTCAGCACATTTTTGAAAACACTTAAGTCCATTGTTTCTTTTGGGGGGCGGGGTGCAGAGTGCTAAAGAATTTTAAGCTCTTCTAGCAGCACTCTTACTCACAGCCAGATTAAATTTCTCTTTCCTTCACAGATTCCCCGAGGCATCATTATAATGAAAAAGTAGGCATCAGAAAAACACTTACCCAGTTGTGTCTGGAGAAAAAGTCACTTTTTGGATGACCCGTGTAAAAAATCTCTACACATTTTATTCTAATTACAGCTCTGTAAGCCATTCCCCTCTCCAGTGGATGCTAGTGAACTACTGCCCCCTGAAGGTCATGACCTTGGGCACCAGTAAGTGTTCGCCATCAAAAACTGAAAGACAAACAAAGACTGAAACAATATGGCTGCTTTCAGGACGTGTGAGAACGGAAGCTGGAGAAGACTCCTCTCTTGGTCCCCTGCATGGGTTTACTCATGAGTTTCATGCACTTGACTTTCTCTACGGTTTGCCCTTAGGTTTTGCTAACGTCTGCCTCTTTGGTCTACTTACACCTTGGACTTCTCATTCACTCCAGGTTGAACCCTTTTTTCCCATCTTCCTGTCTTAGCCAGTGCAGGACAGAAAGGTTAACAGGCTTTTGAGCCATAACCTGTGAGGGAGAAATGCTATTGTTTAATTCTAGCTTACTGAATGCCTCCCTCAATAGATTTTAATACTTGCCAAGGTTTCCCTTAAGCCAAGACCAGTGTTTGGTATGTATCGGGCAGTTGTTAAATTATTAAGTAAACTATTCCTGTAAACAATGAAATGCCATTCAGTTTTCTTATCCTTGTCATAGAATTATTTACTTCCCTTTCTATTAAAACCTCATGGAATGTTACTCCTTTTTCTTGTGTTTTCATTAAAATGACCTTTATTTCAACAGATTACTTGTTTGGGCATTCCTTACCCTATCTTATTGTCACATTTCATAAGATTCTTCTTGTAGCATCACATTTTGTAACCATTATTTGATTTGTAACTTTATCTATAGGGACTGCCTTCCACTTCCACATGATTAAATGGCAAGTAGTTCCATTAGAGACCCCCTTTAGAATAAATTGATATAGATACAGATGAGAACTGAAAATAGATTAAAACTTCTTTCACACAGTACCGTCTGGAAAGTACCAGCACGCATGGGAATCAACTTTGACACATGCAATTAGGTTTTGGAGGACGTGAGTATGATTCATAATATAGTCATATAGTTGCTGAAGAGTGAAATATTTTACTTTAGAACACTTTATTTTTCAATAAACTTTGTTTTAGATTTAGATTTTGGTATCAGATCAACTCTGTGTGGTAGCTACACTAGGTCCAAACATTCTTATTTCATAGATAAAGTTACTGAATGTAAAGATATAAGTGCACTTCCTCTATAGAAGCACCTGTTAAATTGTTTTATACATTATCACATTCCTTTAATCATTTATGAACGAATATTGATTCAGTTTCTATTGCCATACCAGGTACATTGCTAGGTGTTAGGCATACAAAGAACAATACAAACACAACAATAAGAGAAATCACTTACTCTAAAATAATCGGTCTATTGGGGATTTGCTAACAATTTTGATGTCATAAGAACATGTTTCAGACTATTAACATTAATTACATTGGTTGTGGAATAAAGTGTCTGTTTATTGAAATCACAAAGATTTTGTTGTTAGGTTACAACTCAAAGGGAAAACTCAAGTTGGAAGTGGAGAGAAGGGTGGCCAGATTTATTTTATTTGCTCTGTATGACTTTCAAAGACCTATAAAACTGATAATTTAAACAAATTCTAAAATGGCTTGTTATGGGAGCCTGAAATTCTTGTTAGAATGAGTCAGTCTTTCTCCTTTGAATGGATGAAGCAGGCCCTAGTCAGAAGAATGTTAGTACTCTTCTGTCCTGAACTGTCTCAAGTCCCTGGAGAACCCTCTGTTCTTCAAAGTACCTCATCATCACATTAAAGATTCATTTAGTTCATACTTCAGAGCCCTCGTTAAAATGCAATCTGGGCTCTTGAGAGTACTAATATCCATTTGTGACTCATCTCACACTTCTGCAATAGTGAACTTTTAAGTGAGTAATGGAAGGCAAGGAGAACACCGGAACCTCCACCAGGGAAGAAGAGAGTGCAGGTAATAGCATCATCATGTCTCTAACTCCCCCAGCCTACCATGCAACTCCTGGCTGGGCACCTAGAAAATACCTCGACCTCAACTTGTTGGCTCACCTGATGCCCTGATGCCCTTACCTTCCAAATGACGGCAGATCATTTGGACGGTAAGAAAGCCAATCACTGTGTTGAAGTGGTTTATATTGTCCATCAATCTGTTCTCCAAAAAATTTCAGGCCTTGTATTGACCCAAGTGATCTAGTTTTATTCTTTTTTTTCTCTATATTTTTACCTTTTATTCATGTATCTTACCTTTTATTAATTTCAAAATATTCATTAAGGGGATACAAACATTTTTGTTACATGGATACTTTGCATAATGCTTGAGTCGGGGCTTTTGGAGTGCCTGTCACTAGAATAGTGTTCATTGTACCTAATAGGTCAGGTTTTTATCCCACATCTGCCCTCCCACCCTCCAAACTTCTTGGTTGCCAATGTCCCTTAAATTTCTTTGTGCCTTTGTATACCCATCATTTAGCTCCCACTTACTAGTGAGAACACATGGTGTTTGTATTTCCAGTCCTGAAATACTTCACTTAGGATAATGGTCTCCAGTTCCATCCCAGTTGCTGCAAATGACATTATCTCATTCCTTTTTATGGCTGAGTAGTACTCCCTGGTATATGCCACATTTTCTTTATCCATTTGTGAATTGATGGGCACTTAGGTTGGTTCCACATCTTTGCAACTGTGAATTGCACTGCAATAAATATTCAGGTGCAGATGTCTTTTTGATAAAACGACTTCATTTCCTTTTGGTAGATACCTAGCAGTGGGATTGCTGGTTTGAATGGTAGGTCTACATTTATTTCTTTGAGGACTCTCCTTACTGTTTTCCATAGAGGATGTACTAATTTGCAGTCCCACCAACAGTGTATAAGCTTTCCTATCTCTCTGCATCCTTTCCAGCATCTATTGTTTTTTGACTTTTTAATAATGGCCATTCTGATAGGGATAAGGTAGTATCTCATTGTATAATAGCTTTGATTTGTGTTTCCCTGATGATTAGTGGTGTTGAGCATTTTTCATATGTTTGTAAGCCATTTCTCTATATTCTTTTGTAAAAACTTCTGTTGTATCTTTTGCCTACTTTTGGATGGGGTTGCTTTTTTCTTGCTGATTTGTTTGAGTTATTTGCAGTTTCCAGATATAAGTCCTTCATCATATGCATAGCTTGTGAATATTTTCTCCCATTCTATAGGTTGTCTATTTATTTATTTCCTTTGCTGCTGTGCAGAAATCTTTTAATTTAATTAAGTTCCATTTATTTATTTTTGTCATATTTGCCTTTGGGGTCTTAGTCATAATTATTTCTTTGATTGAATATCTTACAAAGTCATCTGATCTTTTACAACAACTTTCATCACCTGTTCAAGAAAATCAAGAAAGTTAGGTCCATCTCTTGATAAAATGCCATACTACAATTATTTTACTGCCTATGAAGGTAATTAAATGCATGCATAGAAGGAATATCATCCACTTTTTAAAGAACTGGGCTAATGTTTGGGAGAGGTCAACTGTCTTCTGTGGAAAACTGCTAAAAATCCAAATTTACATACCACTTCATCTAGAGTCAGAACGTCTCCTCCATAAAACCCAGACCACAGAGCATCCAAGTGAAGGTAGGCTTGGAACCAGGAAAAATGTTACAAATCTGCCATGGAGCCACTGTGAGCATGATTCATATGAGTCATCAAACCAAATAAGAGTAATAGAACTTTCTGTAGTGGAATTCTGTGTGTTTTTCAGTGTATTTTATATATTTTTTCTACCTTCTTTTCAGATCTATTGTTTGAGGTAAGCAAAACAGATATGAGGATATTAAACTGTCAGGCAAGAAAACTGAGCTGATTTGCAGAAAAGTTGATATTCAACAAGTAGCAGGACAAGACCGTTTTCCTTTCAGGCAATATCTGTGTGGTTTCCTTTTTTTTTTTTTCCACTTAGACCAGTTGGAGCCAGGAAGCTGACATATTATACCAAACTGCTGTCCCTTTTGGTAACTACACAAAGCAGTTTTGGCTTTTTGTCCTAAAATCTTTAACAAACATTTCTATGCTTTTCTTCTTGAAACAATATAATTACCAGCAAATAATTCAAAATATATTCAAAAATTCATATAAATATACTGACTTTTGATATTTAATACTTAAACTCTCCAATTATACGATTAATGCATTAATAGAAAGAATTGCCATGTCTGAATTCCTGAAGTCATATGATATACTTAGACATTACAGTGACCTTGCACTTTTGGAATGTATGAATGGTCCATAAATTTAATTTTGAAAGAATTCAACAAATGAAAATATGTTACTTTGTAAAGGCATTCTCCCACTGTTAAAATATATCAAAGTTTTTCTATCATTCAGGTTTGCATGTGATTTCCAAGTTTTAATTTTTATCGTGATGATGATGAATTCATAACATCATATTTCAGATTGCAGAGGAAACTTAAAAAGGATGGCACATTTTGACTGGTTAATTGAGGCTGGTTTAAAGAAATCAAAAATGCACCAAAATGATGAAATTGTCTTCACCAAAAAGCCATTGATTTTAAGGTGAATATCCAGCCTCTTCTTCCTCTCTCTAATTGCCAACCTCTAACCCCTTCCCCCAAATCCTATTTTCCTTGATAATAACAATAAAAAAAGGAGTGGAACCATTAAAGGGCATTTAAATATATATATAATTGGCAGCAGCGCTGAGCTCTCAGGCTGCCTTCTGACTCTCCAGAGCTGAAAAATTATTACTCCTCGTTCTTTCTGCCTCCACAAAGCTCGGCTCCCTCGGACCTACTGATTCTGGAGTTCTCCAAACCCATCAGGCCTGGTGGTCTGGCACTCTTGCCTGGAATAGAAATTCTTAGGGAATAAGATTTTCCACCTCCTGCAGGCATTTCTTACCATGCTTCGTTAGAACTACTCAGTGAGGGGACTGTGTGTGTGTGCGTGCATGTATGCGTGCATGTGCGTGTGTGGCGTGCACGTATATTGTGTATTCCCTCTGTCCTTAATGCCACGGATAAAAATAAAAGGATTTGCAGTATATTAGCACTGCTGTGGTCCAGCTGGCTGCTATAAAAAAGAAAGACATGGCTGAGAACCAACAGAAA